GGTGATTTCTCGCTTTCTGTCTCTGTCTCTGTCTGGCAAGGGAGGAACACCAATACGAAAAACCCCTCCAAAAAAAAAAAAAAAAAGATTACAAAATAAAATAAATAAAATAAAATAAATAATTTTTTAAAAAAAAGAATACATTTCAGATCATGTCATTTGTTTGCTTAAGCCTCTCCAATTGGTTTTTAACCTCATTTGGAAAATGAACCATGGATTCCTTAAAATGGACTTCAGAGTCCTATGAAATTGTCCCGTCGCCTCCCTGGCATCTGTTCTTGTTCCCATTGTTCACTCTGCTCCAGCCACACTGACCTGGTTACTGTTCTTCCGCCCACCAGCCCTGGGGCTTTGAGGCCTTTGCATGTGGTGCTCATCTTCCTGCGGAAATCTCCTCAGTCAGGCCTTTCTGGCCACACTATAGATTTCAAGTTTCCCCACCATTTATATCCTCCTGCCCCGCTTTATTTTTTTCTCCTTGGCACTAACACACTGTGTTTTAGCTTACTTACTTCCTGTCTGCCTCCTTCCCTACAAAGGACATTTCATGAGAGCAGAGGTTTTTGCTGCTTTATTCCTGTTTGTCTATATCCCTGACACCTAGAGCAGTGCTTGGTGCATGGTTAGCACCTATAAATATTGGGTGAGTCCATGAGCATGACTTGGACTAAAAGAAGCAGTGGAACATGGGCCGCCTTATGTGAGACATGAGCTGGGGGCCAGCTCTGTGATGCTGTTTAAGAGAAGCAGGATCCCACATGGTGACCACAGTTTGAATCTTCAGTCTGGTTGGGCGTGCATGTGGGTGTCCAAGATCTGAGGGATTGGAAGACTAGAAGAAAGGGGTGTAGTGTGACCAGGCCCTGTGGAGGGTGTTCATTTCTTATTCACTTATGTGCATACATACATGCATGCTATCATGAATGGAGAAAAGCAAGAACCATAAGAAGTAAAGGAATGAAATATTCTAAGAATACAGAAATATCCTCTAAAACATATTTCATCGAATATTCGTTTGAGAGTCTTATTACCTGCTAGTCTTTGTCCTTAACAGTAAGCAAATGAACCTGGCAGACGAGGTTCCTGTCCACTAGTGGGGAATGTCAACAAGAGACAATTAGAAATAAATGCTCAGGGACCAGCAGGTGGTGTGGTGGTTAAGGGCACTGGACTCCCTCATGGTTGACTGTGGTTTGAGTCCCAGACCTGGCAGCTTACTTTCTTTCTCTCTCGCATGCTCTGTCCCTCTCTGGTCAAATTAAAATAAATAAATAAAGTTAAATAAAATAATTCTTTTAAAAAAAGAAATAAATGCTCAGTTTGAATTCATTAGATATTTTAAAGAGAAGTATGAGTGGGCAAACCCTGTAGCACAGTGGTTAAGTCCTGTACAGAGGAAGCTGGATCTCCAATAGCTGTCTATGGTTCAAATCCCAGCCCTGACAGCTTTAATGATACTCCAGGCCTGTGTGTGCATGTCTAGAATCCTGATGGGATAGAGAAATGGAGGGAAAATTATTGCAACATGATCAGGTTCCCTTGGAGGGTTCTCTCTGTCTCTCTTTTTCTCTCTCTCTCTCTGTCTCTCTCTGTCTCTCATGCATGCACACACATCCTCTAGTATAAAACTTTTTTTTTTGGAGATTTTGCCTTAGAGTACATGCGCTCACCAGCAACAGACAGAGACAATGAGAGGGAAAGTGATAAATCATCCCCCCAGGGTGATTTCCCTTCTCCATTCTCCTCTCAGGATCTTGGGGATGCATGCACATGCGCCTGCATGATTTTCAAGCCACTGGGTTCAGGATTGGAACTATGGTTGGCCACGTGAGAGTCCAGTAACATAACCATTATGCCATCTACTGGCTCCTAAAACTTTCTTTATTTTTTTAAAGAAGTATGAGAAGGGGTCACAGGTAGCATGGTGGTTAAGGCACTGGATTCCCACATGGCTGATCATGGTTTGAATCCTGGACCTGGTGGCTTGCTTTCTCACTTTCACTCTCTCTCTGTTTCTCTGTGGTCAAATTAAAAATAAATAAAATAAAAAGTATTTTAAAAACAAAAGAAGCATGAGAAGATGTGAGCATGTAATGGGGCTCTATCCTAATCTGGGAGAGCAGAGGCCTTCTTGAGGAAGTGAAATATAAGTGAAGGATGGAAGCGGGAGCTGGAGTTGGCTAGGTAGAGGAAGGCGCGAGAACAGGGTCAGGCAAGGATAAGAATACGCAGGAAGACCCTGAGGGTGACTCATAGATATCCTGAGTAGGAGTCGGAAGTTGAAGGCCTGACACTCACTACGTATGATGATCTTTCGACTGATGACTTAAATCACCGGGGCTGTCAGTTCCACCAGGGTGCAGGTCATACATCTATGTTTCTTTCTTTTTTTTTTTTTCTTTTGAGAGGTTTTCACTATACAGCGTGTGCGCTCGCCAGCCAGAGAGAGACATAGAGACAGAAAGCAAGAAATCACCCCCCAGGGGGGAGGGCCACACCGCAATCCCTTCTCCTCTCGGGATCTTGGGCACGCAGGCACACGCGCCCGGCGTGAGTTTTAAGCCCCCGAGTCCAGGACACGAACCGCGGTTGACTACGTGGAAGTCCAGCGACAGCCATTACGCTAACTGCTGGTTCCCACATCTACGGTTTCTGGGAATTCCCATGCTGCTTTGCAGAAATCTTAGGTATAAGTTGATTGCACAATAGGTAACACTACTTTCCTGTGTTTACACTTCACTGACATGCAAACACACAAGTGCCTTGTGCTGAGAGGTTCTCTGACGAGTCACTGCTTCTTAGATTTAGTGGTGGGCTAATGGGATGGGAACGCAGCCCAGAGTGTAGGCAGCACTGAATTTGCAGGCAGGGATGCTAGGGCTGGAGGCTGGAGGCCTAACACAGCCCCTAACACACAGAGCGCCACTCCTTCCTTAGACTTCCTTGCTGCTGTCGACGCCTGGTTCCAGGTCTTGCTGCCCAAAATACATCCCTGGCTCTACCACAACGGGGGCAACATCATCAGCATTCAGGTACAAATGCCACATTGACTGGAAAGGGGAAGGAGGCCAAGAGATCCCCGACCTTCTCCACCTCCTGGCTGGGCTCCACTGTCCCTCCCCCGGCAGGTGGAGAATGAGTATGGCAGCTACAAGGCCTGCGACGTCATCTACCTGAGGCACCTGGCTGGGCTGTTCCGTGCACTGCTGGGAGACCAGATCTTGCTCTTCACCACAGATGGCCCTGAAGGACTCAAATGTGGCTCCCTCAAGGGGCTCTACACCACCGTAGATTTTGGCCCAGGTCTCCTGAGCAAGGGTTAGGCGTGGAGTCTGGAGGAGGAACAGCTCTCCTATGACATTCATCTTTTACCTTTGCCTCCTTTCTGCAGCTGACAACATGACCAAAATCTTTGCCCTGCTTCGGAAGTATGAACCCCATGGGCCACTGGTGAGGGGCCAGGAATCCTGAGTAAGGAAAGACACTGGGGCAAGCTCGGTTCTCATCTCATCCCCTAACTTCCACTTCACTTCACACTCTAGGTGAACTCCGAGTACTACACAGGGTGGCTGGATTACTGGGGCCAGAATCACTCCACACGGGGGATTCCAGCTGTAACCAGAGGATTAGAGAAGATGCTCAAGCTAGGAGCCAGTGTGAACATGTAACTGGAGACACGGGGCCAACACGAATCTGTAACCGGGACTCGGGGATGCAGGTGAAGATTCAGTGTGCTGATTTTTACCCTTCCTGCCCCCAGGTACATGTTCCATGGAGGTACCAACTTCGGATATTGGAATGGTGAGTCTGGATGGTCCCAAGAAGAAGGGAGGTTACAAGGGATCACAGTGTGAGAGCTAGGAGGGTTAGGATGTCTAGCAACTCAATATGGCTACCACTGCCCCTCTGATGGCAGAATTCTCTGAAGGCAGCTCTGTTTGGTGCCTATCATCCGAAAGATAACGTTGACTTAACTAACTTGGTTCAACTTCAGGTGCTGATGAGAAAGGACGCTTCCTTCCCATTACTACCAGCTATGACTATGATGCACCTATATCTGAAGCAGGGGACCCCACACCTAAGTTTTTTGCTCTTCGAAATAGCATCAGCAAGGTGCCCTACCACTTTACCAAGCTCTGAAGACTTCATTTGGGGGAAGGGAGTGCCCTAATTGTAAAGGGATTCCATAAGTTGGTGACGGCTGTCTGTGCTACAGAGCCATCTGAGCCTCTGTAAAAGCACTTCCCACTCACCCACGTGGGACTGTGTGCAGAGAGGCCTGTATGTGCAAGATGACGGGGTCTTCATGACTCCTGAAGCCCTGCCCTGGGCCCCAGAATAAGAACCTGCCCTAGAATAGCCGTCCCCTCTGTGCTTTTCCTATGGCTCCTGAGAGAATGTGGGCTCAGTTCCAGGAAATTCCCTTGGGACCTTTACCTCCCCCCAGCCCCAAGATGATGCTTGGACCTTTGACTCTGAACCTGGTAAGTTCTTCCCTATCTTTTCTACGATTCTTTTGTATTTTCTAAATATCCTATCCCTTCTCACCCTTTATCCAGAAATTTCCCTTTATTCTAATATTTCCCCCTTATTCTAATAGGATGGGGATTTGCTGGCTTTCTTAGACTTTCTGTGCCCTCACGGGCCCATCCGTTCAATCTTGCCAATGACCTTTGAGGCTGTCAAGCAGGTAAGGCATCAGCCTACATCTGGTGGGGATGGCCACCTCCCTCGACAGCTAGAGCCAGCAGTTCCCTCTAGCTGTCCATCTTGCCCACAATGTCTTCCTTTCTCTCAGTTCATCCTAAGCACTCCTTCTTCTATACCCAGGATCACGGCTTTATGCTGTACCGGACGTATCTGACCCAAACCATTTTTGAGCCAACACTCTTCTGGGTGCCAAATAATGGAGTCCATGACCGTGCCTATGTGATGGTGGATGGGGTGAGAACCTAATTCCAAGCTAACTTGTGAGCCCCAATTACTTCCTCTCCCCAGCACCCTTTAGCCTTAAGTTCTCCATACCTACTCTTGCCTTCTTGCCTGTTCATGTCTACAGAGGTTCTAAGGATATAAGCTGGAATGAAGTTTGATTAAGGATTGGGCTGGTCCCATAGTCTCATAGTTAAGGGAGCCGGATCTCACATGATTGACCGTGGTTTAAATCCAGGCCTCAACAGCTTGAAAAACATGCTGGGCACATATGTATGCGTGTCCCAAATTCTGACAGGATGGAGAAATGGAAAAGGGATTGTGGCATGATCATGCCCTGTTGGGTGGTGCTTTCTCCCTCTCCCTTTCTCTGCTGAGCACATACACTCTCTGGCTTTTTTTTTTTTTTTTAAAGTTTAATTAGTAATAGAGTTCCAGGGAGCCAGCAGGTAGCTTGGTGGTTAAGGGCACTGGACTCCCACGCGGCTGACTATGGTTCGAGTCCTGGACCTGGCAGCTTGCTTTCTCACTTACCCTCTCTCTCGCTCTGTTCCTCTCTAGTCAAATTAAAATAAATAAAGTTAAATAAAATAATTCTTGGGAAAAAAATAGAGTTCCAGAATGGATGGGGATGCAAGTGAAGATGGTTAATTCTTTGCCCCCCAAATAAGTGTCTAATGTGGCTTCCTGTGCAGGGGCCAGGGGCTAGATCCTGAGCCCTTCCTTCCATAGATCTGACCTCTTAACCACAGGTGTTCCAGGGTGTTTTAGAGCGAAATATGAAACATAAATTGTTTCTGACGGGGAAGCTGGGGGCCAAACTGGATATGCTGCTGGAGAACATGGGGAGGCTCAGTTTTGGGTCCAACAGCAGTGACTTCAAGGTGAGCATGCTTTGTCCGCCCTCTTCCCCTCAGTACTCTTAGTGACCCAACTCCCTTGGAAGGACAGGGGCCTAATTGAAGATAACAAGTCATGTCTTTAGGAGTCAGGCAGACAAGTAGTCGCTTGTGGGGATCTGGATGTGGCCACTAGGCACTTTTTGGGAGGGAGAGGTAAAGTTCACTAAGAGCTCAGTGAATGACAACTATCCATCTCCCTTCACTGCAGGGCCTGCTGGAGCCACCAATTCTGGGGCAAACTATCCTTACCCAGTGGCTGATGTTCCCTCTGCAAATTGATAAACTTGTCAAGTGGTGGTTTCCCCTCCAGTTGCTGCAAAGGGCAAAATCTCAGTCCCCCTCTGGCCCCACCTTCTACTCCACAACATTTCCAATCTTGGGCTCAGTCGGGGACACATTTCTCTATCTTCCTGGATGGACCAAGGTATTGCAAGTGGTGGTGCTCGGTGGAGGGATGGGGTTAAGTGTGTAAGGAAGACTTCTCTCTGAATGCATCTTTTTTGTACAATCTTTACTTTTGAGTGATGTAAATGTTTAATATACACATTTAATAATATAAATATCCCTCTAAGAACTATTCTAGCTGCATACCACAAATTTTGACTGTTGGGGTGGGTGGTAAAAGGGAAAACTCATGAAAGGATGGGGAGCAAAAACGATTCCAGTAGTTGGAAACCCAAAACAGGATGATTCTATCCTCTGAAGAACTGATCCCTTCTTTTCCCCTCTCCCTCTCCTACCAGGGCCAAGTCTGGATCAATGGGTTTAACCTTGGCCGGTACTGGACAAAGCGGGGGCCACAACAGACCCTCTACGTGCCACGACCCCTGCTGTTTCCTAGGGGAGCCCTCAACAAAATCACATTGCTGGAGCTAGAAAAAGTGCCTCCCCAGCCCCAAATCCATTTTTTGGATAAACCTATCCTCAATAGCACCTTGGGTGGGACATACCTTTCCTCCCTCTCAGCTGATACAGAAGGTGCCTATGAACCCATGAAGTTAAGTGGGCACTGAAAGGTTACCTTGGACCTGGGACAGACAGTGGACAGGATCCCTTGGTGCTAGCCTCAGTGACCACAAAGGACTGAAGGCCAGAATGCCTCTGAGTGTAAGTACAAGTGCAGTTGCCTTGCCAGACTTTATTGTGATTAAAGTTCCAGAGACGGTACCAGCTCCACCCACCTCTGTGGCCCTATTTTGCCCTGGTTCCTGTGTGCCTCTCCCCTAATTTTCCCCATACTCTGGTTTCATGGGGATGAAGAAACCCACGGCTGGTGTGAATGTGTTCCCTTGGGGCCTAGGGTTGGCCCCAGGTGGAGCTGTAAGAGGTCAGGAAGAGGGCTTCCCTGCCCGACGGCGATGGTCCTGGAGGCAACGTGTAGAGCAGAAAGAGAAGTCGAGGTAGTGGAAGGGAATGAGGCCTTGGAGGGATGCCCCACAACTCCAGCAGCGTCTGAACAAGAGGCAGAAAAATGGCTGGACAGGTACCCCAAAACTTTCCAGTCTAAACTCTCCCCATCCCTCCTCTAGCCATTTCTGTTTTCGCTCCAAAAGTTCCTAGAACATCTCAATCCCCTCCATAAGCTTCCTGAATGCTGCATAGGCACTTGTTCCTTGTGCTCAAAATGGCCCCCACATCACCATAGTTCCCCTCACTCCCTCGCCCCCTGCCCATACCCAACATTGATGATGGCAGAGTCAGGGACCGGCGGGGGCGGGGCTCCCCACTGGGCAGCCAGGCGACGCTCTGCAGCCAGAGCTCTCTGGGAAAGAGAAGTGTAAGGATAACACCCAAGTGGTGACCTGGGTACCCCAGAAGTGGCAGCTGCATGCTGGGGAAGCGATCAGACCTCTGAGGAAGAATCGCTGTGGGAGAGAGGACCCCGAGCCTCACCTTCTCCCGGTCGCTGAGGGCGGCAAAGCGCCGCCGCTCTTCTTGCTCCCGCTGCTCCTGCTCCCGCTGTTCCCGCTGCTCCTGCTCCCGTCGCCGCCGGGCTGCCTTCTGCTCCCTCTTCCGTGCAGCCTGCCGTGTCTCCATTTCGGATGTCAGTGGCCCTGGAACCTGGTGGATTTCCAGAAGGCATCAGGTAAGGCTCACACAAACTATCCTTGGTAAACCACCAGGAAGTCTGAAGGATCTCACCAGGATCTACAAAGCCTCCCTACTTTGCTTCTCCTTCCTTTCCCGCTGACCTGAGCCTTGTTGTAATCATAGGCATCTGGATTCTTTTCCATGAACCTTCGGAACTCATTCCGTGTTGCTCTGTCAGCTGCAACGGTATAAGGTGGCCGGGCCCGGGCATCCCTAGGTGCAAACCACCCCTAAATGAATTTGCCTTGCTTCCTGCCTTTCCCAGCACCACCCAACCAGACCAAGAGGATACTGTCCTGCTAATTCAAGGTCATCCTCTCTATACCCAAATGGTGCAGGGCGGGACCCCTACTTACTGCACGGTGGGGTCGGCACCTGCCTCCAGCAGCAGACGAACTACTGAGCCTCTTCCAGCTGCAGCTGCCGCGTGCAGGAGAGTGAAGCCACCAGAGCCCAGTGGAGCACTGAGCAGAGACCGAACCTCAGGGTCCACAGGGCCAGCCACTAGCTGGAGCTTCAGCACTCCCACTTCTCCAGCCCGGCAAGCAGCCAGCAGCACATCCCAGAGCTCTGGCTGACCAGACAGGGCCTCGGCCTCATCTAGTGAAGGCCCCTCGGGGGCTCCATGTGCCTGAGCTGACTCTTCTTCTTGAGGTTGCTGGAGAAGAGTCGGATGTGCCCCAGCCTCCTGGTCTCGGCTCCTCTCCTTCTTATTCCTTTTTCTCCTCCTCCGCTTGGGCAATACTTCAAACTCACGAAGGCCCAAGGTCCCCAGTGTCAATTCCACCAGCTCCAACTCTACCTGGAAGTCATCATCTCCTTCTGACCCTGAACCTAGGGAAAATATCTGACATGTTAAGTCCATCTAAGGAACATGAAGAGGGTGGAAAGATATGGGTTGCCTCGGATACAAGAGAATGCCTATAAAAGAGAATCTAGATCATCCCAGAGCAAAATTATGTTTTCATTTTGTCACTCAAGAAAAAGCACATCTAGGGCTGCATCCATTAAATCACATGCAGACGTGAGGCTTTCAGCCCATGGGCTCTCCCAGTGAATGGCCTTAGGATGGTGCGTGGCAGTGGGAAGCAGGCAAGCAGCCCTTAGCCCCAAACTGCAGCCTCCAGTGAGACATGAATCAGGTGCAATTCAATTTTCAGGCGTCTAGTCCATGCTCAGACTTTCCTAAGGATTGGGACTACGTCTATGTACAAAAGAGGTAATTCGGTTTGGGAAGGTCACTAATGTGACTCAGGAATAGCAATGACAGTACCCCATTTTCGAAGCAGACACAGGTGTGTAAGTGTGTGTGTGTTGTATAAGAGTCCATCTATAAATAGGGAAATGGGTCAGTTCTGAGAGTAGGGAATTTGCCATTGCATTTCCAGGACACCCAGATGGCCTGGATGATTGCCAGATGGTACTCAAACCCTGTGTGGGAGATTCTTCCTTCTGCCCAAGTGCCTCATTTCCAACACTGGGGACCTTTCTTCTTTCTTCCTCAGTCGGCTTCTTCCTCTCCTCTCTCTCTGCCTTCTGGTTTGTCTGAGGTGAGTGCAATCTGAGTGTCTCCCGAGGGTCTTCTCCTGCCATAAAATGAAAGATCTTTCTCAAACTAAGCTGAGGAGGAGCCAGCCCTAGTTTCTCTCCGGGCTGCAGTCCAAGGGCTAGAGAATCCTGTGGGTGCAGAAGTGAGCACTGAGACCCAGGCTGGAAAGTACAGCAAAGTCTAGGGAGTCAGGGATCTGGAGCAAAGGCTCACCATGGACATGCAAGGTGGTCAACTTATGGAGCACACGCTGTAGTTCTCGGAAGGTGGGTCTGCGGGTGGTGAGGGGGATATCCCAAAGTCGAGGATCCCCCTTTTGCAGGGGTGCACCATGGCCTCCAAAGAACCATGACCGTCCAGAGCGGGGGGCACGCAGAAGTATTGTCCCAGCCTCCCCTAGTGCCTTAGCCCAGTCTGGCCCTGCCAGCAGGTCACGAACTTCCTGGAAGAGAAAAACTCAGCCTGCTTTATCTTGCTTCTTTAAAATCTCCAATCAAAACTTGGCTCAAAGGTTGGGAGCACTGAACTCTTCCATGACCAACTGTGGTTCAAGTCCCGGGCCCAGTGGCTTGCTTTCTCACTTCCCCCTCCACCCCATACTCTTGTCCCTTTCTGGTCAAATTTAAATAAAGTTAAATAAAATAATTTCTTTAAAAAAATAAATAACTTGGCTCACAGGTCAAGTGCAGAGAATGGGATTAGAAGATAACAGAGAGAAAGGAGAGGACTAAGGCTCCTGGGGAGGGGCTGGATTCCCATAGGGCGGACTCCGGTTTGTATTCTGAACCTGGGGGCTTGCTTTTTCACTTTCCCTTCCTCTCTTTATCTCTCTTGCTCAGTAACATGTGGAATTAAATAAATCAATCTTAAAAAAAAAATAGAGACTCCTAGGGCACCCATCTATCTTTGTATACCCAGAAATAATGAATGTTGGGAGGCTGGCAAGTAGTGTGGTGGTTAAAGGCGCTGGGTTCCCACATGGCTGACCACGGTTTGATTCCCAGACCTGGCGACCTACTTTCTCCCTTTCCCTTTGTCTCTCTCACTGATCAAATTAAAAAAATAATAACAAATAGAATTAAATAAGTAATTCTTTTAAAGAAAGAAACAGAAATAATATTGGAAGGTATAGGAGTCGAAAATCTCCCTATGGTAACATTTAGTGAGTTAAACTGAGAGGCAAAATAGTGTGAATTAGAGCAGGGGTCCCCGGGAGCCGGGCTGTAGGCTGGTACCAGTCAGTAGCCCATTGCCCATAGTCCCTCCCGCTCCGCCCATGCAGCAGGGGTGGGTGGCAGGTGAGCCAGTGAGCAAGCAAGCCAGCAAGGCTTCCTCTGCATTGGTAGCCACTTCCCACTTGCTGGTGTTGCAGCCTGGGCTCCACCTACTGTCCAATGAACCACCATATTAGATTCTCATGGGCACGCAAACACTATTGTGGTTTCACCGGATGTTGTGTTGCAGTAGTGGTGGAAATGGGGTGCATGGTGGATGTGGTATGCTTGGTCATCCAGGGACACACACACACCTGCCGCCGCCCTGATCTGTGGAGGGACTGTCTTTTTCACTAGGTAAGTCCCTTGTACTATGAAGGCTGGGGACTGCTGGACCAGATGTGAATGCCCGACTCACCTTACATAGCGTGGCTTCATTGTAGCGCCTCAGGTTGGCTCCAGCAGAGCGTGATGCCCTACCCCGGGCATCCCGAAGCCCCTGGGCTGTGCCCCGCTTGGCCCGCACTGTGTAGCGGTGAAAGGTTTTGTGTGTCGCCACTTCTCTTCTGTAGATAGCACAGACTCAGTACTGGAGACAGCCAGGGCTCCAGCTACCAAGCCATCCTTACCCCGTGTAGCCCCTCTCACCCTTGAAAAATGGCCCCTGCAAAGTGCCCAGCTGAGGCCATGAGCACCACACAGGATCTGGGACCTCCACTTCGCAAGCTCTGCAGCAGCAGTTCTGCCTCTTCTGGGGCAACCTGGACAACAGAGGGACCGCAGCAACATTCTACCTGCTGCATTCACTGAAAGCAAGAAACCCACTGCCAGTGCCAAGTGCATTACACACAGATCTCGTGTCTCACACCCACCCTCCGGCTGGCTTCCATTTTACAAATAAGGAAACCTGAGGCTTGGAGAGGTAGTCAAGATCAAGTGGTAGGACCTTAATTCAAACCTAGATTGGTCTGTTTCCAAGCTTCATTACACTTGACCCAAGATCAGACTAGTTTCAATCCAAGGCTGTGCTATCCACACCCATCAGAAAGGGGAAAGCCAGGCTGAGTATACAAAACCTGTGCTCTCACTCGCCTTATGAGGACCTAGGACACAGCGGTAGGCATAAAGAAACTGGCCTTGGGCATTTTGGAAAAGAACCCGATGGGGGTAGATGCCTTGGGGTTGGATGGGCTTTTCCAGTTGAGCCCCTTCCTCATCCAGTGTCTGCAAGTCGTCCTCACTGGCTGAGTCCGAGTCCTCTGATCCTGAGATACTGGAAAGATCTCCTGAAGGCGGACATGAGACACACAAGTCTGGCACCCATCTTTGACCTTTCCTCAAACTCCTAAAGCAAGGCCTGCCTCCACCCCTATGTCCTGCTCTCATACACATCTCCACGGGTCCTCACCTGTGGAGCTTTGCTTTTCAAAGTCCAGGGCAGACAAGAGAGGCTTGTCCTTGAGACGCTGCTTTAGGTTGAAGCGATGCCAGTCAAGCTTATAATGTTCTCTCTGGTACAAAGGAAGAGGGGGAGGAGGAACATGGCAACGTGCCCCAGCATGGCCTTGTATGCTAACCTAGACCAGAATTCAAACTCTGGGAAGTATGACTGGGTCACACCAATAGCCTGCTCAAAGCATGAACCTTTATTAAGTCAAATCAAATGCGTGCCTCTCCCCACCCACCTGTCTACTTTTGCCTGGCCTTTTACCTGTTCCTGGTGATTCTGGAAGGTCTGGTCACAGGTTGAACAAAATAATTTCTCTGAAATATCCAGTGGGCCGTGTGGTTTTCTTTGGGGGCTTGCTGTCTCCCCTGAACCTAAATAAGGGAAGGGTAATTAGAAGTAGAAAAGGAATCCACAGTGCCTCAAATTAGAGTTAGTGCCCAATATCCAAAGCAGAAGGGGATTAAAAAAAGATGACATGACCTTCTCTTAAAATTGGGACTAGCAGTTGGCATAATGGCTATGTTGCTGGACTCCCATGTAGTTGACTGCAGTTCGAGTCCTGGACCCGGCAGCTTAAACTCATGCCGGGTACGTGTGCGTGTGTGCCCAAGATCCTGAGAAGAGAATGGAGGAGAAGGGATTGCGGCATGGCCATCACCCCTGGGGGGTGATTTCTCGCTTTCTGTCTCTCTGTCTCTCTCTGTCTTTCTGACGAGCACACGTGCCCTATAGAAAAAACCTCTCAAGAAAACAAAACAGAAAACAAACTTAAAATCTAGTAAGCATAAAGGTATAGCCATCTCTTTATACAATAAATATGCTTTTGAAACAGTTGGTGTGGGGCCAGCAGATGATGTAGCAGTTACATCTAGACTCCCACATGGCCAACCACAGTTCTAGTCCCAGACCCTGTAGCTTGAAACTCACACCAAGCACATGTGCACGCATGTCGAAGATCCCGGGAGGAGAATGGAAGAGAAGGAACTGTGGTGAAGCCATGCCCCCAGGGGATGATTTCTCACTTTCTCTCTCACAGTCTCTGTCTCTCTCTTGCCTGCAAGCACACATGCCATAAGGCAAAAACCTTAGAGTTTATTTTTTTAGAAAATAAAAAAAAAACAATATATGTAAAGAAATACAAATAAAACATTGTGTTTAAGTTAGCCAAAGGGGGACCAGCAGGTAGCATGATGGTTAAGGTGCTGGACATTCCCACATGGCTGACCATGGTTCGAGTCCCGGACCTAGTGGCTTGCTTTCTCATTTTCTCTCTCTCTCTGTCTTTCTCTCTCTGTGTGGTCAAATTGAAATAAATTAATGAATAAATAAAATTAAATGATTTTTTTTTATTATTTTATTTTTGGGGAAAAGGTTTTTGCTATAGGGCGCGTACACTCGCCAGAAAGACAGAGAGAGGCAGAGAGATAGAAAGCGAGAAATCACCCCCCAGGGGAAATGGCCATGCCGCAATCCCTTCTCCTCCATTCTCCCCTCAGGATCTTGGGCATGCACACCCACACACCCGGCTTGAGTTTAATTCGCTGGGTCTGGGACTCGAACCGTGGTCGACTACATGGGAGTCCAGCGACGTAGCCATTATGCTAACTGCTGGTCCCATAAATAATTATTTTTTTAAAAATTAGCCAAAGGAATCCTATTGGAAATACTTTGTGGTAAGATTAAAAAAAATTTTTTTTGGAGAGGTTTTTTTTTTTTTTTTCTGCCTTAGGGCACATGCCCTCACCAGAGAAAGAGCCAGTGAGAGGGAAAATGATAAATTACGCCCCAGGGGAATGGCTGTGTTACAATCCCTTCTCCATTCTCCTACTGGGATCTTGGGCACCCATGCACATATGCCTAGCTTGAGTTTGAAGTCACCAAGTCTGGGACTCAAACTGTGGTTGGCCATGTGGGAGTCCAGCAATGTAACTGCTATGCCATCTGCTGGTCCCAGTTAAAATTATTTTTTAATTGTGCCCCTTGACCCTCACCCCATGGCCTATTGGATAAGGCAGCCAGATCCCATATGGCTGACCCAGTGGTTGGAGTCCTGGCCCCAGGGTCTTGCACACACACCAGATGCATGTGAGCACTTGCCCCAGATCCCAATGGGATGGACAAGTGGAAGAAACCATACCCTATTAGGGGGTACTTTCTCCCTCGCTCTCTTTCTCTGGTAAGTGTACTCACACTCTGGCAATTAAAACAAAAAAAAAAGTTATCCCTATCTGCACTAAAACCACTTCCCAAATGACATGTTTTAAGCTTTTATTTCCAATTACAGTGCACAAATTGTGTAAAAAGAGATGCAAGAAAACACAACTGCAGTTGTACAAAACCAATAATACATTGTTTTACAGTCAGTAAAAACCAATGATTTGATCAGTGTGCAGACAATTTGGAGAACGATTAGATTTGGAATGCAGTTAAATACATCTATTAAAGGAATTCTAAAAATACATCTAGGAATTTTGAAGTGTTTTTGAAGACAGTGTTAATGAGACATAAGCAATAGCAAAAACGTCTTGAAGATCATTCAGGGGGCCTGTGCTGAAAACTGTCCAGAGATGAAGTGAATTTAAGACATATTTTAACCGCCAGAAAAGTCGTCGTGGGCTCCTAAGCTGAGGAATATCATTAAGAATATGTCCCCTGGAGGAACGACAATCTCCAAGGAGCCCTGTCCCGTTCATCACGAGTCTACATCAAATTTCCCAGATACCTGTACAGGAAGTAGGCAGAGCCTGGGACGGAGCCTCCCCAGGAGCGTGGCTCACCAGGCTGAGGCCCTGGAGGACCGGAGCATCCACGGTGAGATCAAACAGGGAGATAAACGTGGGGCCTGGAGCTGCAGCTGGAGCCGGCGACATGGCTGAGTAGAAATCACCCAGAAGCAGTTCCTGGAGCAGAAAGTGGGGAAGAAATCGAGATCCCCAAAGACAGATCCTACTGCCGAGTCTTCTCCCTGCCTGGCTTGGTCTTCCACACACTGCAGGCACCTCGGCCCTCCACCCACCAGGAGTCAGCCCTGGGGTAAATACGTGTCCCCAGTTCGCTTCCTAACACCCCGTATCTTGGGCCACAAAAGCGTGAAATGTGGGAGCACGCAGCTCCCAAATTGACTCCAACAAAATTAAAATCACTGAGGGTACCTCGCCGACTGCTCTTCGTTAGCTGAGCGACAAGCTCTGACAACAACTGAGCTGTATAAGCTCGCCTCCGCCCTCGGAAGCTGGACCGGCGATTTCAGGAGCCAAGCAGCACACTTGTCCGCAGTTCGAAACCGGATTTCTGCAAAACCACAACAATTCCGTCACTACGGAGCAGCGAAGAGGACAAATGACGGCGCCCGAGCCTGAACCCCGCCCCACGTAAAGCGCACTATTGGCCCTGGGATTGTCCAAGACCCGCCTCGCGCCTTTAATCCCGCCCCCACAGCCGAGAATTGGCTGTCGCGTCTCCACCCCTCAGGCTCATTGGTCAGGTTGACTGCGGGTGACAGTGAGTGGCAGACCCCTGGCCTAGCGCTCCGGATCGGGCCGGGCCGAGCAGAGAAGAGAGGACAGAGCCCCTGGAATCACCCGGGTCCCGGCTCCCGAGGTGAAACGCGAGACCCGCCGTTGAAATTCCAGGGCCGGAGCTGGTCCTGGCCAGGGGTGACCGCGGAGCCCTACGTGAGCTCGGGTCGGATAACGGGGTAAGGGGGCGCCGCGGACGGGGCGGGGGCGCGCAGCCAGAATGTTTTGGTAGCGGGCGCGCGCGGGCGAGCGCGCGCACAGGCGGCGAGGCCGCGCGCGAGGTTGTCCGCTGTTGGGAGCCGATTCCTGGGCCTGGGGCCGGCGACCCTCGGGTGCCCTGGGCTCGGGTCACAGCGGCTGGGTGTGGGGAGGCAACCCAGCTCGGCAACCCAGCCCACCCGGGTTATCAGCTGTAGGACTGGCTCAATCACTCCTACATCCGCAGAAACCCCCCTAGCCCAGGCCCAGCTGGGGCTCCATGGGCCGTGGGTCCACACTGACCTGGTGAGTGGTGAATTCTGTGGCGGGCAGGACTCTAAGCTATGGAACACTCCTAGGGCCAGGCTGGGCCGAGGCCCAGGGTCCCCAGGGTCTGCACTGACGGATGAGATCACCCTCAACCATGCTTGCTTGGATCCAGGAACGTAGGAACCCACAGATTCGCCAGGACCTGGGGTCTTTACTGACCCAGTCAGTGTTTCCTATCCAGGAGCTATGCCTGCCTACCGGGTCTTGGGTGCTGGGGAAGCAGGGGAAGAGGCTCACTGGGAGATCCTCTTGAGAAAAGATTCTCTTCCCGGGTCTTATGGCCTCTGAGAGACATGTCTAATCCTGAGGCTGAGAATGGGGCAGCAGAGAAGAGACACAGTCTGGAGGGACCACTTGGTCTCAGGCCTGTACTCACTCAGTCTGCACAGTCAGTAAGTTGCTTCTTGGGACTCTAGAGGTGGTGTGTGGCCAGAGAAGGTGCTCCCAGTCCTGGGTTGGAAAGCGTATCTTCCTCTGCAGCCTCCCTGCCTCATTCTTGGCCTCCTTCTAGTGGGGTATGTGTGGGTGGAAGTTGGGTTCCTTCCTATTCCCACTCCCTGGTGCCTAACACCTTCTCCTCCAGCAGCTGCAGATCCAGGGCATCGAGGGTTGGAGTGGAGCAGACACTGTCCATGGAGCTGGTAGGGCCATGTGCTAATCTCAAACCTTTGTTTACTAAGTGCTACCCAACCACTAAGTCTCTTGGGAGATCAGGGTTTCCTAGAAGGGGAGGGGGAGGGCCCTTCTCTCCACTGAATAGAAAATGAAAGTGAAAGAATCCCTTACCCCCAAAGGGGTAAATTCTGGCTTTAGGCCAGGCGGGCATCAGTAAACACCCAGAAAAGGCTCAGAGTGAGTGATCAGAGTTAAGTCCTCCCAAGCCCTGAGCTTCTTGGTGTCCTTGTGTTACCCCTCCTCCTGCTCTGCCATTGCACCCAGGGGGCTGGGAGTGGAGACAGCACAAGGATTCTTTCTCACTCCCTCTGGCAGTAGGTAGGGCAGCAGGCAGGCAACACCTGGGTCTGAACCAGGACCTCTTCCTCCCCATCACTGGCAGGTGGACAGGGTGGACAGGGGGCGGTGGTGATGGCGCAGTTTGACACTGAATACCAGCGCCTAGAGGCCTCCTACAGTGATTCACCCCCCGGGGAGGAGGACCTGTTGGTGCACGTTGCCGAGGGGAGCAAGTGTAAGTTCTTGATGGGACAGGCAGAGCTGGGCATGGGTGAGAGTCGGCGGAGGGGCACTGAGGGAGCCAGGGGCTTTAGTTTCTTCAGGGCTCTGACAGCTCTACTCCTGTGTCCACAGCGCCTTGGCACCACATCGAAAACCTTGATCTCTTCTTCTCTCGGATATCCTTTGTGTCTGTGTGTTGGGGCTCTGGGACCTTTAGCCCTTCTCTATGTCAGGTCCCTGACAGGAAGTTGTGGGTTTGACCGTAATCCCTAGAAGGGGGAATGGAACTTACTTGGAGACTGAAAAAGCTGGTGACATGATACCCTGTATTTACCAAGAGCTGTCGCCTGTACACACTTTGTGGTGTTCATTTATAAGGAACCTTTCTAAGGGTGATCCTCCTTTTTTGATGGGATGTTAATAATTGTACTAATTAATGTCTTTTGACTCATTCTGTGTCAGTTCTGTGTTAAATACCTTACATGCATTATCTCAGAGCTAATAATCCGTTGACACGGTTATTATGGCTAATTTACTGCCACGGACAGCAGTTTAGAGAGGTTAAATAACTTGGCAGAAGTCACACAGCTAGAAAGTCACAGAGCGAGGACTTAAGCTTAGACATGTGACACCAGAGTCTGTGCTCTTAATTGCTATCTTTGCCGACCACTTTTTCTTAACAATTACACGTTTATAATCTGCACCAGAAGAATGGCTTCACGTGTATGCTCATCGGGGAGATCTTTGAGCTCATGTAAGTATAAAAAAGGATGGATGATGTGGGGAAGGAATACATCTCGGTCTTTCCTTTGTTTGCATTCACCTCTGGCCCTGCCTGCCAGTGCTACTCAACCCAGGCTTAAAACTCTGCAGACTGGGACCAGCAGTTAGCATAATGGCTATGTCGCTGGACTCCTATGTAGTCGACCATGGTTCGCGTCCCGGACCCGGTGGCTTAAAACTCACGCCGGGCACGTGTGCGTGCATGCCCAAGATCCCAAGAGAAGAACGGAGGAGAAGGGATTGCGGCATGGCCATCCCACCTGGGGGAGTGATTTCTTGCTTTCTGTTTCTCTGTCTCTCTCTGTCTGGCGAGCGCACGTGCCCTATAGCAAAAAAAAACTTTCTCAAAACAAAACTCTGAAAACTCTACAGACCTTTGTAGTTCAGGAATTGGGTATGGCACCAAAATTCATAACCTCATCTTTCTCACAAGACCAACGTTCCAAGTCCTACTTTTCACGAAGAGACCTCAGACCTTGATCATTTTATCTTCTCCAATGGACTCTGCTTGTCAGGAGGTCTCAGAGATGCCAGCCAATGCGTGAGAACACTCCTGCTGTTTTCCTTGGGTGTGCCTTAGGTCAGCTGCTGGCCAAAGAGCCTTCTGGGAGGAAGGAGCCATATGACATCACCGAAGGGGAAGGGGTTGGGAAGCCCTCCCTCAATAAGAAAAGAGTTCAAATCTCTAAAGGGCTCCTAAGGACTTTCCCTCAAAAGGAAATCAGGGACTGGAGCCCAGAGACCACAGTCTTGAAACCTTTATGTCGCTGGACTCCTATGTAGTCGACCATGGTTCGCGTCCCGGACCCGGTGGCTTAAAACTCACGCCGGGCACGTGTGCGTGCATGCCCAAGATCCCAAGAGAAGAACGGAGGAGAAGGGATTGCGGCATGGCCATCCCACCTGGGGGAGTGATTTCTTGCTTTCTGTTTCTCTGTCTCTCTCTGTCTGGCGAGCGCACGTGCCCTATAGCAAAAAAAAACTTTCTCAAAACAAAACTCTGAAAACTCTACAGACCTTTGTAGTTCAGGAATTGGGTATGGCACCAAAATTCATAACCTCATCTTTCTCACAAGACCAACGTTCCAAGTCCTACTTTTCACGAAGAGACCTCAGACCTTGATCATTTTATCTTCTCCAATGGACTCTGCTTGTCAGGAGGTCTCAGAGATGCCAGCCAATGCGTGAGAACACTCCTGCTGTTTTCCTTGGGTGTGCCTTAGGTCAGCTGCTGGCCAAAGAGCCTTCTGGGAGGAAGGAGCCATATGACATCACCGAAGGGGAAGGGGTTGGGAAGCCCTCCCTCAATAAGAAAAGAGTTCAAATCTCTAAAGGGCTCCTAAGGACTTTCCCTCAAAAGGAAATCAGGGACTGGAGCCCAGAGACCACAGTCTTGAAACCTTTGAAAGAGTCTGAGGTGGTGGCAGAGATTACCATGAGGTGAGGGAAGCAGGCTGATTCTGTGGTGCCTGAAGCTGAGAGCAAGAACAGGCGCTGATCTGGGCCCGAGAAGTCGTGAGGGGCTGAGCAGCAGAGAGAGTCCACTGGGGAGTCTCTGGCCCCTTCTGTTTCCCCAGTCTTGTTCTACTGCTTCCAGACTCTTTTCCCACTCTATTTCACTGGTGCCTCTGACTCTTGGCCCGTGCACCCTCTTCTCAACTCCCCAGGCAGTTCCTCTTTGTGGTTGCCTTCACCACCTTCCTGGTCAGCTGTGTGGACTACGACATCCTATTTGCCAACAAGATGGTGAACCACAGTCTTCACCCTACAGAGCCCGTCAAGGTCACCCTGCCAGACGCCTTTCTACCTGCCCAAGTCTGTAGTGCCAGGTAGGGACAGCCTGTGGCTCTACCAGCAGGTGGGAACAGAGTGGAGTACGAGGCAGGGACGCATACTCCAGAACACAGCCAGGTTCAGCACAGCAGAATCCTGGGTAGCAGCTTTTCCTCAAAAGCTAGCCCTCTCCTTTTTCCCCCCCAGGATTCAAGAAAATGGCTCACTTATCACCATCCTGGTCATTGCTGCTGTCTTCTGGATCCACCGGCTTATCAAGTTCATCTATAACATTTGCTGCTACTGGGAGATCCACTCCTTCTACCTGCATGCTCTGCGCATCCCCATGGTAAGACTGGGAAGTTGGGTGGCTAGCACCACAGCCCAGGCCGTCTTGGGAGGGATGGGGGGTATTCCTGGGTATTATGTGTTCCTGTCTGTCAAAGGGAGGTCAGGGAGCATCTGCTTAGCTGAGCACGTGGCGCCTGAGCCTCACAGCCAAGGCAGGGACAAGGGTTGAAGCAACAACTCCACTTCCATTCCTTGTCTCTTCTCACTCCCGCCCCCTGCAGTCTGCCCTTCCGTATTGCACGTGGCAGGAAGTGCAGGCGCGGATTGTGCAGACCCAGAAAGAGCACCAGATTTGCATCCACAAGCGCGAGCTGACCGAACTGGACATCTACCACCGCATCCTCCGTTTCCAGAACTACATGGTGGCATTGGTGAATAAGTCCCTCCTGCCTCTGCGCTTCCGCCTGCCTGGCCTCGGGGAGGTCGTCTTCTTCACCCGTGGCCTCAAGTACAATTTCGAGCTGATCCTCTTCTGGGGACCTGGCTCTCTGTTTCTCAATGAGTGGAGCCTCAAGGCCGAGTACAAACGTGGAGGGCAACGGCTTGAGCTGGCCCAGCGCCTCAGTAACCGCATCCTGTGGATTGGCATCGCCAACTTCCTGCTGTGCCCCCTCATCCTCATCTGGCAGATCCTCTATGCCTTCTTCAGCTACGCCGAGGTGTTGAAGCGGGAGCCGGGGGCCCTAGGAGCACGCTGCTGGTCACTTTATGGCCGCTGCTATCTCCGCCACTTCAACGAGCTGGAGCACGAGCTGCAGTCCCGCCTCAACCGCGGCTACAAGCCCGCCTCCAAGTACATGAACTGCTTCTTGTCGCCTCTGCTGACGCTGCTAGCCAAGAATGGCGCCTTCTTCGCCGGCTCCATCCTGGCCGTGCTCATCGCCCTCACCATCTACGACGAAGACGTGTTGGCTGTGGAACATGTCCTCACCACCGTCACACTCCTGGGGGTCACCGTGACCATATGCAGGTGGGCTGGGGCAGCAGGCGGGACGAGGAGCCGAGTGCCCTGGGGAAAGGCATGCATCGCACCATGGCCTTGATCCCACCAGGTCCTTCATCCCGGACCAGCACTTGGTGTTCTGCCCTGAGCAGCTGCTCCGTGTGATCCTCGCCCACATCCACTACATGCCTGACCACTGGCAGGGTAATGCCCACCGCTCACAGACCCGGGACGAGTTTGCCCAGCTCTTCCAGTACAAGGCAGTGAGTGGAGTTGGAGCTAGGGCCTGCTAGACTGGCTGGTAGCTCGGTGGTGAGGGCTGGCTCCCTCCTGCTCTCGTGTGACCTAGGTCCCTTCCCTTGTAGGTCTTCATCTTGGAGGAGCTGCTGAGCCCCATTGTCACACCCCTCATTCTCATCTTCTGCCTGCGCCCACGGGCCCTGGAGATAATAGATTTCTTCCGCAATTTCACCGTGGAGGTGGTTGGTGTTGGCGATACCTGCTCCTTTGCTCAGATGGATGTTCGCCAGCATGGTCAT